ACCAGCGTAGTTCAAGGGGCAGGATGCAAATGATATGCAGGAAGACTTTCATAATTAGACTTATACGTTACGCGAAGCCGGTCTGAAAATTGTACTTATACGCTACGCGAAGTCGGTTTGAACATTGGGGATTTATGCCATGCAATGGAACGCAAAAATGCAATGAGACGACCCATTTTTGACGAGACCGAAGACTTGGACAAACAAACAAAATACAAATGTAATTGGTTGAACCCACAGGCTGCCTACGTATCCCTTTGCAAGGAATCAAACCAGCGTAGTTCAAGGGGCAGGATGCAAATGATATGCAGGAAGACTTTCATAATTAGACTTATACGTTACGCGAAGCCGGTCTAAAAATTGGACTTATACGCTACGCGAAGCCGGTTTGAACATTGGGGATTTATGCCATGCAATGCAACGTAAAAATGCAATGTAATAGCTGGAAAGTGAAGGTACCTTACAGGGGCAATTGGCAATGACCTACCTCATGTTGCTGAGGACCTTCCACTTCTTCTTGGTTAAACTGCAGGTACTACTTTTCTCCCTGGCTGTGGCCGCAGCTTTCCCTATTCTCCAACAGGGTGACAGACTAGGTTGGTTCAATATCCTAAATTGAGGTGCATACAAATGCTATCTCAATCTATGGGGCTGCCATACAGATTTCAAGCCAAGGATATACCCCTGGGTATTTAAACCAGACTTTAGTCTCAAAAATCCCGAACCTTTGTGTTCTAGGCATGAGCCATTCGAACTCTAGTTTCCACCGTCTCAGACCTTGCTCGCCTTGGTCTCCTAGGAACTCACCGCAAACACAGGCAGGTGGCTATCCAGACCACCGGAAGTCGTTCGGGCACGACAAACACAAAGGAATTTCACCTTTAGAGGATTTAAGGTCTCTTACACCGAAGAGTGCAGAAGATAGTGCGAGTGAAGAGTGGATGCACAAAACAATGCTAAGAAGATGCACCAAAATAGTGCGATGCAACGTACTAACAAGTACAGGTTAGGTGCGCAAGAAAGCGTGATAGAATGCATGCAAAATGCAATAAGGTGCACAAAATAGTGCGACGCAATGCACTGACAGATGCTACAAGCATTTTCTATGCAAGATGAGAGAGAGCATGTAATGAAATGAACAAGATAGTGCGATGCGCAAGAGAGCGCGAGTGTAAACTGCACAAAATTGTGCGATGCGCAAGAGAGCACGAGTGATAAACTGCACAAAACAGTGCGATGGCCAAGAAAGAGCAAGTGATAAAACTGCACAAAATAGTGCGATGCGCAAGAAAGCGCGAGTGATTTGAAATGCACAAGACAGTGCGATACGCTAAATAGCGCGAGTGATTTGAAATGCACAAGAAAGCGCGATATGCTAAACAGTGCGATTGATTTTGAAATGCACAAGACAGTGCGATACGCTAAACAGCGCGAGTGATTTGAAATGCACAAGACAGCGCGATACGCTAAACAGCGCGAGAGATTTGAAATGCACAAGGAAGCGCGATACGCTAAACAGCGTGATTGATTTTCAAATGCACAAGACAGTGCGATATGCTAAACAGTGTGAGTGATTTGAAATGCACAAGACAGTGCGATACGCTAAACAGCGCGAGTGATTTGAAATGCACAAGAAAGTGCGATACGCTAAACAGCGCGAGTGATTTGAAATGCCAAGAAAGTGCGATACGCTAAACATCGCGATTGATTTTGAAATGCACAAGAAAGTGCGATACGCTAAACAACGCGATTGATTTTGAAATGCACAAGAAAGTGCGATACGCTAAACAGCGCGATTGATTTTGAAATGCACAAGAAAGTGCGATACGCTAAACAACGCGAGTGATTTGAAATGCACAAGACAGTGCGATACGCTAAACAGCGCGAGTGATTTGAAATGCACAAGACAGTGCGATACGCTAAACAGCGTGATTGATATGCAATGCACAAAATAGTGCGAGTGAGATATAACCACAAGATGCACATGATAGTGCTAGTGAGATACAAAGTGTAAGTGCACAAGACAGTGCGAGTGAATGCATGTTCTATGCAAATGAGGTGCATTTTCTATGCAAGTAGGAAGAGGGCATTTTCTATGCAAAGATACGAGCATTTCTATGCAAGAAACAGGAGCATATTCTATGCAATATTGAAAGCATATTCTATGCAGAATCGAAAGCAAGCATATTCTATGCATGAATCATAACGATGCGCTTCACGCATGTAACAGAAGTGTATAGGAAAGTGCACATTCTATGCAATGGAAGGGCATCAAAATTGAGTGGGGTCCACACGTCTTTTGGGGTGGGTTCGAAGAGGTGACGTGTTCCTTGCCGCATGGCAAGTCATACGGTGAAGACGGTTCGTCAAAACCATTTATGAGTGAATGGGAAGTTGATGTCGTTTTCGGGTTCGTGGAATGGACAATTAAAGAAGTAAATATGGATTTTCTTGAAATGGGTTGTCCCACATTGAAACTTAAAGAGAACTTATGTGTGTATGTATATAAGTTCTAGGTGACAACATTTTTTGCTCAGAATAGATTTAAATCTGCCCAGGCAGATTTGAACAGTTTTAACCTGAGTTTAACAGGTTCAAATGTTCAAACAGATTAGGAAAATTGCCAGCAGTTTTGGGCAATTTTCTAACTGCAGCAATTAGCGTATCTGTTCAAAATTATAATCTGTATCTGTTGGGCAGATTCATACTTGTTCGATTTCTTAGATAGCCACAATTTACCTATAAATACCTGCCATTTTAGCAATCTTTGTAGATCCAAAATTCTTGATTTTCCTTCTAGTTTTGCTCTCTTGCATGATATAATCTTCATATTATTTTAGAGAAAAATTCAGAGAGTAAGAATACATGTTTTTGTTCGCCGAACAAATTATTTGGAGTGCTACTACAATTTGTGAAGATCATTGTATCCTAGGAGATAGACGCCAATGTTCCGTAAGCACTGTAGCGGGGCGAATCTGTCTTAAGGACAGAGTGTCACACACTCAACTTGATCTTTTTATTATTCATTCGGTTAAAAAAATAAATTCAGTTAAGTTATTTATTTTATGTTTTGATTTGGTGTTCTCCTATATATGTCCTAATTTTCTCACTAGTGGCAAGATATTGTGCCTTCTCGCGCAACATATGCGTGACAAATGAATAAGAGACAACTCATATATGTTTGCATCTCTCTCTTTAA